AGGAAAACATCTAGTCACTGTATTATGAGTGACCAACTAATATTTATAGGAGTACAAACCTAACCGACTATTTATAAGAATACCCTTACTAATATATTATCTACAAGAATACTAATATTCTCCTAACACTCCCCCTCAAGTTGGAGCATATATATCATAAGCACCCAACTTGTTACAAAGGTATTTCACCCTAGAGCCCCCTAAACTCTTGGTAAACAAATCAGCTAATTGATCTGCAGACGGTACATGAGATGTCTTGATGACTCCATCAAGTAATTTCTCTCGAATGAAATGACAATCAACTTCAATATGTTTTGTCCTTTCATGAAATACTGGATTAGACGCAATATGGACAGCCGCCTGATTATCACACACTAAATTCATAGGCTGTTTATACTCAAACCCAATTTCAAGTAACATGCTTTTCAACCAAACCAACTCACACACAGTGTGAGCCATAGCACGGTATTCAGATTCTGCACTTGATCTGGAGACAACTGTTTGCTTCTTACTCTTCCACGACACTAAATTACCACCAACAAACACACAATATCCTGTGGTCGATCTTCGATCTGAGGCAGAACCGGCCTAATCTGCATCACTATATCCTTCAATATCAGTGTGTCCATGATTTTGATACAGCAACCCTTTTCCAGGTGCACCCTTAAGATACCTGAGAATCCGTATAACAGCATCCCAATGACTAGTACGAGGGGTATCAAGAAATTGACTCATAACACTCACTGCAAACGAAATGTCAGGTCTCGTTACAGTGAGATAATTTAACTTACCCACAAGTCTTCGATATTGCTTAGGATCATCAAGCAATGTTCCTTGATCTCTTGCTAATTTCACATTGGGATCCATAGGAGTATCCACAGGTCGGCAACCTAACATCACAACTTCACTCAACATATCGAGTACATATTTCCTTTGACATAAATAAATCCCATATTTAGACCGAGCTACCTCAATACCCAGAAAATACTGTAAATGACCTAAATCCTTTGTCTGAAAGTTTGCCTGCAGATTGGATTTAAGTTTCTGGATCCCCACAACATCATCACCTGTAATCACAATATCATCCACATAAACAACTAATAAAATTTTACCAGCATTAGAATGCCCATAAAATATAGAGTGATCTACTCCACATCTCGTCAGACCGAACTCCATGACCACACTACTAAACCGGCCAAACCAAGCCCTTGGAGACTATTTCAATCCATATAAGGATTTTTTCAAACGACAAACCAACTGCGAATTCTCCCCCTGAACAACAAATCCAGGAGGTTGTTCCATATATACTTCTTCTTCTAAATCTCCATGCAGAAATGTATTTTTCACATCCAACTGATGCAATGGCCAATTGTAAGTTGCTGCCAAAGAGATAAGAAGGCGAACCGAGGTAATCTTTGCAACAGGAGAAAATGTTTCTAAGTAGTCTACTCCATACACCTGAGTAAATCCTCGAGCTACCAGACGAGCCTTCAATCTATCAATAGAACCATTAGGCTGCACCTTTATAGTGTACACCCATTTACAACCAACAACAGGCTTACCTGAAGGACGAGGGACAAGATCCCAAGTACTATTTTGTTCCAAAGCAGACATCTCTTCTTGCATAGCTAATCTCCAACCAGGATGATTAAGAGCATAGGTAATAGACTTAGGAATGGAGATAGAATCAAGGGAAGCAACATAAGAAGAATATGACATAGAGAGACGAGAATAAGACACAAAATTAGAAATAGGATGGGAAGTACAATGTCTCTTACCTTTGCGTAAAGCAATAGGAAGATCTAACTCAGAGGAGGGCGTCATACCTGAATTTGAAGATTGAGAGTTAATTGGTGAAGTGCGTGGCATATCAGGAACTTTCTCAACCATGGAACGAAGAGAGTAAACTTGAAGATGAGGACGAGATAATCGAGCTATGGAATCTGGTGGACTAGATAACTCAGGTAATAAAGGGGAAGGGACTGGTAAAACAGGAGAAGAAAAAGAGGGACACTGGTCTAACTCACAAGGCATACTGTGTTTGATAAAATATGGAGTAGATTCAAAGAAAGTAACATCAGCACAAGTAAAAAATCGATTTAAAACTGGACTGTAACATCTATACCCTTTTTGCGCTCCTGCGTATCCTAAGAAAATACACTTAATAGCATGAGAATCTAATTTATCCACCCCGGGAGTAAGCTGATGAATAAAGCACACACATCCAAAAATACGAGGAGGTAATTTAAACACAGGTTCATGAGGAAAAAGAATGGAGTGAGGTAATTGACCTCCAAAAATATTAGATGGCATGCGATTAATTAAATAACATGCAGTTAGAACTGCATCACTCCAAAATTGTTTGGGCACATTCATGTGCAACAACAGTGTTCGAGCAATTTCGATTAAATGTCCAATTTTTCTTTCAGCAACTCCATTCTGTTGTGGAGTGTGAGGACAAGAGGACTGATGAATAATACCAGACTTACTCATAAAGGTATTAAAAGGAGTGGAAAAATATTCTTTCGAATTATCACTGCGAAATATACGTACCGGCACACCAAATTGATTCTTTATTTCTGCAACAAATGCACAAAAAATAGAATATAGTTCTGAACGATCTTTCATTAAATAAAGCCAGGTAACTCTTGAAAAATCATCAACAAAGATTACAAAATATTTAAAACCTAATTTTGAAGTGACTCGACTAGGACCCCAAACATCAGAATGAACTAACAAAAATGGTTCAGAAACCCGTTTATTGACTCTAGGAGCAAAAGAAACACGATGATGCTTTCCTAACTGACAAGACTCACATTCTAACGAAGATAATTGACTCAAAGTAGGAACCAACTTTTTCAAATTTTGTAAAGATGGATGACCTAAACGACAGTGAATTTCAAGAGGAGAAACAGTAGCAGGACATGCTATCGGACCATTGAAGTTGAGAAAGTAAAGACCATTATGCTCATGCCCTCCACCAATCGTCCTTTTTGTCTTCAAATCCTGAATGACAACAGAATCAGGAGAGAAAGTAACTGTACACTGTAGAAATTTAGTGAGCTTACTAACAGACATTAGATTAAAGGACAAATTGGGTACGTAAAGAACAGAAGACAGCGGAAGTGATTGATTAATTTCTACAGTGCCTAGTCCTTTAACTTTAGTGGTAGATCCATCAGCTAAAGTAACATGAGGAAAGGGAGTAGACTCTTGAAAATTAGAAAAAATTTTAGAGGTACCTGACATATGATCAGTAGCCCCGGAGTCAATAATTCATGAGTCATTACCTTTTTGTGCTAAAGAAGCAGAGGGAAGAGATGCGTGATTTGTAGCTTGGTACTGTAGGAATTTAACATAATCTTCCTCAGATATAGTAACAGTCTTCTGGGACCCATGTGCTGAAAAACTCGATTCAATGTGGTCATTGGTAACCGCATTAACAAACCTTTCAACCATGGCGAATGGCACGTCAAACCAAAGAAAAGGTCAAAACTCAAGATGAACAGCGCCGCGTGAACAGTGAACAGTGTCGCATGAACAGTATGCGATGAACAGTGAACAGTCGCAATGAACAGTATCGCGTGAACAGTCGCGATGACGAAAACTTTTGCTAGATGTTTAACCCTAATCCTAGGACTTTTGCTCTGATACCATGTTAACAGGTATCTTGGGAGGAAAACATCTAGTCACTGTATTATGAGTGACCAACTAATATTTATAGGAGTACAAACCTAACCGACTATTTACAAGAATACCCTTACTAATATATTATCTACAAGAATACTAATATTCTCCTAACAATCATTAAAGAGGAATATCATAAATTAAAGATAACAGGAGACAAAAAAAAAAACGAAACTGAAGATGATGAAAAACAATTTGTTTAGTTATCATGGAAATGCCTTGTTCGAGAATATACTGCTTTTGTGGTTCTGCATCCTTGCTCTTACCAAAAGCTCATGCTCTTTTTTGGAGGCTACAGGGCTCATGCTCTTCTGGAGGTGTTTTGGATCTCCTCCAGTGGAGACCGGTGGGCTCTGCTTCACCCATCTTATGTCCAGAGGGCACTTAATTATCTGCTCCACCATGGGATCTAAACTTCAGTGAAGCGACACTCGACAGATGACAGTTTATGTTCTTTTTAGTTGTGCTACTCTAGCAAGACTGCTTCTACTGTTGAGAAAGGTACATTCAAATCAAAAGCAAAGTAAGAAGAAAAATCACATTGCAACAAAATGAAGATAGAATACGGTATATCGAGAGGAAATAACAATCTTAAGCATTAATTAGTCACCCTTTCTTAACTTCCTAGAAGCTAGATACTGACTGATGGCAGAAATATAAAAAATTATAACATGTACACATATGTAAACACAGAAACTACTACAGTTAGGCTGGCAAAGTATACTGTAGTAAATATCACAAAGGGGAGAAGATAAAGTCTAAAACAACCAAAGTAAAAAAAACGCATAACTACAAAAGACAATTACAGCAATTTTTGAAGACCTCCAAGGTCACAACAGACCCAGCAGTTTCCTGTTTGGTAACTAGGAGAGTTGATTTTTTTGAAGAAGTGCATGCTTCCCCAAATAAATTAAGCTTGATAACTTGGCTACAAAAGGAGTGAAAGAATGTCCGCTAACAATTCTTTGAAAACTTGTGCCACACAGTAATTTCATGAAGTCTCTCTGAAGAAGTGGTACATATCCAATTAGCAGCAGCAGGTTTCTGCGAACTGCTATAGAGTATGCATATCAATTCAACTGCCCTAAAGACCACAGCTTCTTCCACCAGCACTGAAAAACTTTAAGGCATTTCACAAAATATGACCAAGAGGGACACGCTAAGGCTCAGCTGCAACACATCTTATGTGCCGCAAAGACAATAAGTTAAAACAGAATCAAAAGCGAACCTAAATAATGTTAGTTCCAGCAAATTAAAGTTTAGGGGCCAAAAACCAGCAGGACCAAAAGTTGCAACAAATATGAAGGTCCTCTTTATCCTCCCTCCATATTCTGCTTGCCATCGGGATCAATCTTCAGCATCAACATAAGCAGAGAAGGATTCTTCTGTTTTTCAGTAGATGAACCAAGTAAAATGGAAAAAGCAGATGAATCAAGCAAGAAACCTCTGCGAACCATTTCTTCATGATACACCAATGCGTCCTTATAATGGCCTCCTTTAAGGAGTTCTTGCAGAATATTGTATGAAACAGTATTTGCCCGGCAACCATTATCTTTCATTTTCTCAAAAAGCTCATTAGTTTCGATGAGCAGGCCTTCCGAAAGTAGGCCAGTAATAATGATATTGTATGTTTTGACATCAGGGTCCAATCCTTTGAGGGAGAGATTTTTTAAAAGATCTCGGGCACCATCGAGCCTCCTGCTTTTGCACACCCCATCAAGTATGATAGTGTACATTACAATGTGAAGATCTGTTCCATCAGGTTCCATAGCATGGAATAATTGGAATGCTTCGTCAACATGTCCAGTCTTGCATAATCCATCCAACACCACACAGTAAGTGTGAAAATCGGGCTTCATGCCAGAAGCTTGCATCTCGTTGAAAATTTCTCATGCACTAAGATACCTTCCTGAACTAAATAACCCCTGCAACACAGTGCTACAAATAACAATATTAGGTGTTAAACCTTTTTGCGGAATCTCTTGAAAGAGCTTCATGGCTGCTTCCACATTCTTGGTCGTGTAATATGCATTTATTAGAATACCATAGCTATGGATATTGGGAGTAAGCCCGCCAGCAACCATGGTATCAAAAACTCTCCTTACTTCATCTATTCACCTCTGTAAACAATACCCATCCATTAGGGAATTGTACATGACCAGGTTGGGATTTTGACCTAGCTGGATCATGATCTGGGCCACTTCTTCAGCATCTTCTATATGCCCTTCCTTACATAGTGCATCCACCACTATATTGAAAGTAAAAACATTTGGAACAATCTTATAAACCTTCATCTCAGCATAGAGATTGTCAACGTCCTTCCATCTGCTTAAGTTGCACAGACCTTGAATCAAACAACTGTAAGGGACAACATTCGGGAGAATGTTCTTTTCAATCATCTCCTGTAAGAGGGCAAGACCTTCATCAACCATTTTATCCTTGCACAAGCTATCAATGATGGTGCTGTAAATAATTGCAGTAGGTTTACAAGGGCTTCCTCGTTTTTCCATTGCTCTGAGGAATTCAATGGCTGTTTGAGTGTTTCCTGCCTTACAGAGCCCATCTATCACAATCCCCAACATAGTTCATTGGGTTTACAAATTTTTTCATTGATTATCTTTTCAAAAAATTCTTGTGCAAGAGGAACCTTATCTTCTTGAAAGAGTCCCTTAAAAAAAGTGCCAACGATGAGGTTGAGTATCACTTTTGATCCTCTTGAGGGAGGGAGGGAGGGAGAGAGGGAGATGATGACTGCTTTGATTTGTGATTCTTTAAGAGTCATGTTAAGACTTGATAGATTCACCAAATCTGTTGAGGCACGAAAATTAGCGAAACATAACCTTGCTTAACAACTTAATGAAACAAACGAAAGAAAGAAAATTATACTTGATGTCTGCATGTTTCCTGCGCCTTATCATTTGAAGATACTCTGCCATCTTGGAAAGTTAAGAATTCATAAATGATGTTAAATATGGCAACAGAACAACAGCATAAACTTCGACAAATAAGCAAGATATATAGATCAATTATGCTAGTTTAAATATTCCAACACCACAAATCAAGGCATTTACCCATTTCATTGATGCACCAAGAAGACCATAGCACAAGCATACATATATTCGCAAGCAATGAGTCCCATAGTTCCCTGGACTTGAGTTGCACTATGACAATTTTGCATCCACTGAAGAAAGCTTCAAAGTCATCATCCAGATGGATGTTTCAAGGATTCAAATCTCGGTAAAAAATCTTTCTATTGCAATGCTCATGCAGGTATTCAGGCCATGTGCTGCATCAATAGAATTTCTTTACTAGTAGGCCACTCTAGGCCTTTCTCGCCAGGTTTGAGGTCTATCACAGGCACGAATAGATATGTTACAATTACTGAAAGGTCATTCATATCACTGCAGATCATGCCCAATAATGACTAGCAAAAACAACAAATATCTCTAATTTCCACCTTACTGACCAATAATACCTTATGAAACAAATTTTAGGACAAACAAATAATGATTACTAGTATTCCAAAGTACACATTCAGTATTTCCATTCTATCCTGAGTATCTTCTCAGTAAATAATTCAAATTTACTGCATACTGCAGGAACAAATATTATGGTGAAATTCTTAAGAAACTGAACCAGCTACATAGAATAGATGCTGTCCCATTTACAGAACTTTTATCACAAACCTTTTTTCTGAATTCAGAAACAAGTTTAGTTTTTCTGTGTCCCGGTTTGTATTGTTGCAACAAAATTGAGAATCCTCCTCTAATGCTATTATAAAAGATAATTAGGTTCGTCTGTAGGGCATTAATTTTTTCTGATGAACATAATTTTGAACCATTGTAAAACAGAAGAGATTTAGAGAAAAGGCAGAGCACAGCAAGTAACTTTTAGATTGTTCTCTCGCATGTTCACTTGCATATTCATAAAACTTCAATGCAAGACTTGTTGTCAAATGTTTGTCACCAAGAAATAAAATAAAATAAATTACAATCAAGACTTGCCCTTAATTTTCTCACAACTCTATTTGAACTGATGTTATTTAACACGTGGTCTGAAGTAATTTTTGCGGTTTAGGCTCATCCAACAGAGAATGCTAAGAGAGCTATTAATGGACACTGAATCAAAATAGGGCACCCAAATTGCTTTTCCCTGATAAGTACGATATCTCAATCGTCAAATAAAGCAATTAGATATTAATAACTTCAATGGAAATCACATTCTCTGTAAAATTAAATAAACTTGATTTTAACCTCTGACTATATCTTACATCCTTAACGAGACTGCATGATAGATTAGATCCAAAATAATATGGGGGATAGTCCTGGTTTTACTGAAGTTCGACACTCATACTGAGACGTGGGAGTATTTAGCTTTCATACTAAAGAACATATGTATGTTTTCTTTTTATATAAAGGACGGAGACTTTCTTGGATGAACTAATCCAGGTTATTGCCAGAGAATGATATTTTTGCCACACTTCTACTGAATGTCTATACAATTTATTACATCATTGACAATTCAAGGGGAAGTGATCAGAATACTTATTCTGGATCATAATTAAAAGGTTGGATTCAGTCAAATGCAGTGAAAACAAATCAATAACCATGACTATCATGGGACCTCAAACTATGAATCCAAAGCAAGAAACTGGTCTAGAAAGTTTTTACGCTTTTGAACCAGCTGAACCTTTAGCACTATTTAGGAATTGAAATAAAAGTAACAATTTTATCTTAGAAAAAATTTTCTCAAAATTACAGGAATGCAGCTTAAACCTTGTCCAGAAATTCAAAGTCACAAACTATATTTGCATATCACATTTCATTTCATATTTACAATAACTTTAAATATTAGTTATCTGAAGTAAAAATGACAGACAAGCTAAAGTACTAACACCCATGAAAAACAAACCAAAAGAACCTGTAAAAGTTACCACTTAAGTGATATGCCACAGTGAGGTTCTCCATGGAAATATCAACAAGAAGTCTCTCTAAGTGGTACAAATCCAATTAACCGCAGCAGATTTCAGATCTGCTACACTAACCAATTAAGGAAATCCAATTAACAGCAGAGAATCTCTATGAATTGCTACACTTATCAATTGAACTTGACATACGGACAATGGCTTCCTCCACCTGAACCGAAGATCTTTGAGGGATTCGCAAAAATATGACCAACAGAGTTCCTCAAGTACCCAGTCCAAAAGTGAACTTAAATAGTGTTAGTTCCAGCAAATAAACGTTTAGGGGACAAAAACCAGTAGGACCAAAAGTTGCAAATAATGTGAAGGTCCTCTTTATCTCCCATCCATAAACTTCTTGCTATCAGGATCAATCTTCAGCATCAACATAAGTAGAGAAGGATTCTTCTGTTTTTCAGTAGCAGAATCAAGTAAAATGGAAAAGGTAGATGCATCCAAAGAGAATCCTCTGTGAACCATTTCTTCGTAATAGGCCATTGTGTCCTCATAATGACCTCCCTTAAGGAGTCCTTGCAGAATAACATTGTATGTAACACTATCTGCCAGGCAACCCTTCTCTTCCATTTTTGCAACAAGCTCTTTAGCTTCCATGAGCAAACCTTCTGAAAGTAGGCCAGCAATCATGATACTGTATGTCAAAACATTAGGGTCCAATCCTTTGAGGGAGAGATTTTTGAAAAGATCTCGGGCACTATCGAGCCTCCTGCATTTACACAACCCATCAAGCATGATATTATACATTTCAATGTAAAGATCTGTTCCATCGGCTTGGGTTGCATGTAATAACTCCAATGCTTCATCAACATGTCCAGTCTTGCATAATCCATCCAGTACCACACAGTAAGTGTGAAAATCAGGCTTCATGCCAGAAGCTTGCATCTCGTTGAAAATTTCTCGTGCACTAAGATACCTTCCTGAACTAAATAACCCCTGCAACACACTGTTATAAATAACAATATCAGGTGTTAAACCTTTATGTGGAATCTCTCGAAAGAGCTTCATGGCTGCATTCACTTTCTTGGTCTTGTAATAGGCATTTATCAGAATACCATAGCAATGGAGATCAGGTGTAAGGCCACTAGCAACCATGGTATCGAAAACTCTCCTTGCGTCATCTATTCGCCTCTGTAAACAGTACCCATCCATTAAGGAACTGTATGTGACCAGGTTGGGATTTTGACCTTGCTGGATCATGATCTGGACTACCTCTTCAGCATCTTCTATATGCCCTTCCTTACATAGTGCATCCACCACTATATTAAAAGTAATAACATTTGGAACAATTTTATAAGCCTTCATCTCAGCAAAGAGCTTGTCAACATCCTTCCATCTGCTTAAGCTGCACAGACCCTGAATCAAACAACTGTAAGTGACAACATTCGGGGGAATGTCCTTTTCAATCATCTCCTGTAAGAGGGCAAGAGCTTCATCAACCATTTTATCCTTGCCCAAGCTATCAATGATGGTATTATACATAATTGCATCAGGTTTACAAGGACTTCCTCGTTTTTCCGTTGCTCTGAGGAATTCAATGGCTGTTTGAGTGTTTCCTGCCTTACAGAGCCCATCTATCACAATCCCCAACATAGTTTCATTGGGTTTACAAAGTTTTTCTTTGATTAACTTTTTGAACAATTCTTGCGCCTCAGGAACCTTATGGTCTCGGAAGAGTCCCTTAAGTAAAGTGCCAAAGGTGACCACATTAGGAACAAAACCACGTTTGAAGAAGCCAGACAATGTTGAAAAAGCTAAATCCACTCGGCCCACAACGCAGTAACAATTAATCATTATATTAAGGGTGGCCTCATCAACATGAATGCCCCGGACACACATATCTCTGAAAAGGGAAACAACCGAAGAATAATGATTCTTCATCTTAACAATACAAGTCAGCAGTTGATTGAATTGAATAACAGATGGCAGAGGCCTCATCCGAGCCATCCGCTCGAACAAGCTCAAAGCATCATCAAGACTGTTGACATTATTAATATCATTCCTTAATTCAGGTTGAAATTCCAGAGCTTTTCCAGAAGAACTCTTAACCTTACTACTAATAGCAGAATAAAAAGCCAAATGGGGTCTATGGTTTGGGAATGGAGAGAGAAATGATGCAAGAGTAGTACAACCTGCAGGAGCAGTAGTACCTAATGAAGCCGCTGCTTCCTGAGACCGAGCCATGGAAACCATTACCACAGAAGACGCTCTTCTCTGCATCGTTACCACAGAACACTGGGAGTGTTTGGATACAACACTTATCCCAAATAATATTTCGCTTGCATCAAAAACACATTTTCCAACCCACCTTTTTATATTCCCAACCATCTTTTTATCTCACATACATCACATCACAAAAGGTGCTACAGTAATTATTCCAAATAATATTTCAAATAATACCCTATCACTGTTGTTTTCTCGTTTCGAGGCAACGGCTTTTGCTTACACGGCGTCGTTGTTGCTTTGAAATTCTTTCAGTTATTGAGGCCAATAAAATCAAAAGAAATGGTTTTGACCAAAAGAATAAATAAATAAATAAAAGGTACAGTGTCAGGTCCAAGTCAATTTCACGTTACTATGACAAGATCTCACTCGACTCAAATAGTAAAATGGATACGAATATTTGTAATTTATAATTAATTTTGTAATTATTATGATGAAACTACGAAGGTAAGATGAAAAAAACTGGTTTCTTTCCTTATTTTCTCATTAATCTCATGTCCCTAGTTTGTTAGAGAAAACATGTGGTAATTTTATTGGTATTATTTAATTTTTTTATATATTATTTTGCATTACAAATACATTTTCTAACTCTTTTTTGACATTTTCAGCCACATGGATTACAAAAATATTAGAGCAATTATTACAAACAATAATATTTCAAATAACACTCCGTCCAGACGTACTTTTTTTATTGCCCCTTGCTTACTTCTAACTTGTAAGAGCATTTCACTTTGGCTTAGACAAGGGGAATAGGTCTCTTTTTCTGGATTTTTATCTTTTATCTTTTATTTCCTTCTCTTTCTTCATCTTCTCCTTCGTCAGCAAACTTACTCTCCTTCATTTCTTTGGTAATCTTCCATTTGCTCTACATTAATTTCTTTTCCTCTGTGCAGTGATTTTAGATGTTCATTTATTCCATAATCTATTTTCATGTACATTATCCTTTTAGATTGGTCCAGCTTCTTTGTCGTTGTATTTTGGTTTTTTTTCTGTAATAGGTTGGCTGTTTTGTGTAGTTACCTTACCTACTTGTCTTTGGTATTTTATTGCTTCAATTGCTGGATAAGCCTCTAGTGAATGAGTTTTATAGTTTTATTTTGAAAATTATAGATAACTGGTATATTGACGATTATATGAATGATTTAGTGTTATAAAGAGATTCATGGACAATAAGAATACCAAAACAATAATGTTACAATTAGTTTTTTTTTTTTTTTTTTTAGAAAACATGCAATTTTGGTCCTCAATATTTAGCACCTATGTGGGTTTAGTCCTTAAAGTTTTGGTAAAAATGAATCTGGTTCCCTAATATTTAGCTCACATGCAGTTTAGTCCCTAGAGTTTGGCAATATCAATTTAGTCCCCAGTGTATCCAATTTAAAGTTGATTTAACGCTTTTGAAGAATTACTCCCAATAGAATTTAGTTATGTACGCTTATGTATCCATTAAATTGAATTTGAAAAAAAAAAGAAGCAATATAGTGGCTAAGGTTTCGTTTGATAAAATTGATACTGAATTCTGAAACAATTAATTTGCTGAATTTTAAGCACTGAAAAAAATATATGAATGTCTGAATTTTAATGCTAAACCTATTTATACTGTTTGATAAACATTTATAACTGAATGCTTAATAAGTTAAATTTAACAATTTTGCCCTTATATCTTTTCATCCAAAAAAGAAATAGTACCTATCATTTAATTAGCTAAAAATGCTAGGTATGAAAATGATAATATTTATTTTCAAAACAAATTAATATAAAAGATATAATATATTATATGAGGAGTATGGAGAACATGTGAAAGTCATTCAAAAGGGAGAAAAGAGAAATAGAAAATCATTAGATAGAGAATATTTATTGTTTAATTAGATAAGAATTTTGAACATAATTAATAAACAAAGGTAGATTTGGCAGATAAGATAAGGTAGTTGAAGTAATTCTATTGATTCTGATCAAAATTAAGCATTCAGTTAGGATTCTTGTACTGAAAAAAATACACACAAGTTCAGCAAATGGATTTTCATTTATCAAACATTCAAAATATCTGAATGTCTGAAAAAATTCAGATTCAACACTTTTTTTATGTTATCAAACAAACCCTAACTTAAACAAGATTAAGAACTAATATCTTTTCTTGCTAACTAATTAACTAGTAAAAGAGAGAAAATAACAAAAGAAATTTGTTCAACTACAACATTAAGACGAGTTGGACCACTCAATTCATTAATTTGGAACTCATTTTCATTCTCTATCCCGACTATCTCCAAGCAAATTTACCTATAGTCGCGTATTGTAAATTTTTGCGCATAGTTTAAACTATTTCCTTTTGTTCAGATTACTTGATTAATTAATTACTTCGTGCTATCATGTGATTCTTTTTTGTTCAATGTTATTCCCTGTTTTGTTCTTCAAAAAAGTTTAATTTAATAAACACGTTATTTTACATGACCGATTGGGTCAGTAATTGTTGAAAATCTATCAATTGTCCTAAATCTACTTCAATTTAGAAATATTAGGGGAAAATGCACTTTTCATCCCTATTGTTTAGGGTGTTGGATAATTTCATCCCTAAAATTTTAGTCAAAACTCATTTCATCCTCATAATTTTATAACTTTGACTAATTTCGTCCTTAAAGTTTCATGCAAACACATTTCATCCCCGTAAGTTCATAAATTTGACTAATTAAGGACAATTGATGGATTGTCGAGCAATTCGAATGGAATATTATCACTTGACTATGGCATGCCTGTTAGTTAAATATAGAAACATTGGATCAACGAAAACCTCAAAAATAATTTTTTTAATTCACTTTCTTATTTTAAAAAATTAAAAAATTTCAGCCACCATTACTCTTTTCTTAATCACAAATTGAATAAAAAGATTGAAAGGAAACAAAGTCCTGGAGAATAAATAACCCCATTATAGCCAATTGGATAAATTTTTCAAACAATCCCATTGCAACCAATTGGAGAAAAATATTAACCTAAAAGAAATAATTGTTTAGATTGTTATTTATTTGCAAAATTTTGTTTTGTTGCATCGTATACATGTTTTTTAAGTTGCCTATCTATCATCTAATTGATTTTTTTATTTCACATACATCATATCATAAATTTAAAAGAAAAGAGTTTCTTATTCCGAACATACTCATTGTTATTTATATAATTTAATCAATGACTAAATTAAGTACTAACAATACAATTATTAACAAGACATGCTAGTCATGTGATGATATTCGGTCCAAATTGGTTAACAATTATTGAATTGTCCTTAATTGATCAAATTTATGAAACTATGGGATTGAAATGTGCTTGCATGAAGCTTTGGAGATAAAATTGGTCAAAATAATAAAACTACAAGGATGAAATGTGTTTTTACCGAAACTTTAAGGATGAAATTATCTTACACTCGAAATCTTGGGGATGAAAAGTGCATTTTTCCTGAAACATTAGAGATCATATTTGTTTATGATGAAACTTTAGGGACTAAAACCATGCTTAAAGCCAAACATTGCCGATCAAAACTTTAGGGACTAAAATTGCACGGGTATTAAACATTGGAAACCAAAGATGCATATTTTTCTATGCAATATGTACATTTATAATTTCGAAGAACAATTACAAACAAATTTCATTGGTTCGGTTTTGTGTGCAAATAATCTAAAATTCTTCTTTTGATTTCAAATAATACCTCATTTTATAATGTATGTTTTTTTTTTTTGGTTTAAACTAGGGCACAACGCTAATCCGTTTACAGAGCTAGGGGACAATATAAAGAGATAAAGTGGAACTTCTCTTGCTTTATCTAATTTTTACGGCGATTAAATTAGTTTGCTACTCTATTAAGTGCAATTTCAGGTGAGTATAAGTCTGCAATGTGCACGTATCCGTCTATAACTTCACCTTTGCCCAAAGTAAATTTTTTCGACAAAGTTAAATTGTGGTGTCCCAATTAACTCGGGGAAAATTGATTTTGATGATGGTTAGCATTTAACTAACAAATATTTCACTGTTCAACCAGTCCAATTCCAGAGTGATTGTTATCATTCTTGGAAGAAGAGATGAGTTGGGTGGTTTGAGGGGAGGAACTGTAAATAAGACATTTTGAGTTCGAAACCTTCCACTTACAAGTTAGGAGGAGGGGGAGGCAGGGGCTGGGTTGGGGTTCGAAAGAAGGGAATGTAAGTAAATATGATTTGGAATTCGAAATCTCCTACTTATACTAAAAAAAGAATTAAAAAGCCCCCGAGGGGGGGGGGGGAAGAAGGTGGATGGGTTGTGTGGGTCAAAAGAATAGAGCGTATGTAAGAGGATCCAAATTCAAGTCCACCTAGGTACGCTTAAAAAAAAATCTTAGATACATCTTCTTGCCATCGTATTACTGGGGAAAGCCAAAATAAAAAAAAAGCAAAAAATAGACTACTGCTCTATTTTGATGACTTTTGTACAGGTGTTTGGCAAGCAAAAATTAGAACATTTTGATTTGCAAAAGTGTAATGGAGCTAGTACTCGTTGGTTGAGCTTAGAGGTGTTAAAATGGGTGATTTGGGCGGCTTTGGGTTGGGTAAAATGGGTAATGGGTATAAATAAATCAATCCATTTATACCCATTTAATTAGATGGGTATAAATGGGTAAGTCAAAAAATGAATTGGATAAC